AAATTCTTTACAAAATCCACAGTTGCAACTGCCATTACTGAGAACTGAAGCTCACACTTAAACCAAGTCCCAGTGTTACTTGAAAAGTTCCTCTTCTTCCTCTTTCCCAACATAAACATCCATAATCATTATAATATAAACACTGAAAATTAACTTCAGAGGACAACCCCAAAAATCAAAGTTCTTTTGATACACAAGAATGGCACAAGTAGCTTCAGTCAGTCCCTGCCTCTCAGAAACAGCAGCTCTCAGCATCTGTGGTTCCAGGAAGCACAGGAGAGGTGCAGCTCTGCCACCACAGAAAGGTACAGAGTTAGTCCTTCAGCCTTCTTCTTTAGTAAGTCAATAATCCAGTTTCAAACTGGAGTCATGCCACCACCAAGGGCATGAAAAGACACTGCTTAACTACACTATGCAAAAAGCACAGCCCTGCCAAAGGTCACCGTTCACACACTTAATGAACAGAAAAATAAAGTGGAGAAATTCTCCTTTTAGCCTTTTTGACCTGACTTTCCTGTTTTTTTTTTTTTTTTCCTCACAAGGCTCACACTGGCTAGAGCAACGCCTTCGATACCACAACATTATTGTGTTGTTAATTAAACAAATGACAGGAGATGTGCTAAAGTTGGTTTCATACAACACCAACTCAAAGTGATGCAGGATATCTGTTAAATATATATTTATGGTGCTCTTTAGTGATCACTGCTGGGGTAACCCTACCCTTGCTAAAACACTGCAACCAGAGTTACTCCTCCCCAGCCTAAAGCAAACTTGTGGCAACCTTCATGCTGACAGTTAAGGCACAGGTGGGAATGCATCCTGCTGGGAATATCTCCTGCTGTGACTGCAAATCCCAGTGTAAAAAACTGGCCCCTATAGCCTGCACCGTAAAACTATAGCTGTTCTTGTACAAAACTCTTCCTTTGATTATTTGTAGTCTGGTAATATAATAAAGCACAGTATTTATTATCTGAGTAAGTACCGGTCCAGCTCAAGCACTCCCACAATACCTCTAAAGCAGTGGTCTCACCAGGCACCCAGTTCTGTCCCTATCTTTACCCAGAATCTGGTTACACAGCTTTGTGTTGGCAAACTCTACTCAAAAGTCCCACAGGCTCCACCCCAACAATTTTTCCCCTCATTCTCTACCCTCCAAACCTCAGAATTAATATTCCCATCCCCCAAAAGCTGAAAACAGGCCTGTTCTTACCATGATGCAGTTGGGCTTGCTAACTGACCATATGTTGACCCGACAGTCGTCTCCTCCAGTGGCCAGCATCCGGCCTGAACCTTTTCCCAGGACTACTGAGGATACATTGCTGCTGTGGGCCATGATCTCTTCTGCACAAAACAAAGCAAACACTTATTACAGATCAGTAATAAAAATTCTCAACCCATCCCTCCAAAAAGTCTAAAACAATTATTTCTCCAGAAACACTTTCCAGATTCCACTGGGCAAGCTGCAGCAGCCCACTGTTCAGATAAGAAGTCACACTATTATCTTGCTTTGAACAGTCCTTCTTGGCTATTCCTGCTGCACTTAAAACATTTGCTGACCAAAGTTTCACAACTCCAGGGTTCACATGGCTTACAAAAAGCATCTCCTCTCACCTGCAGCAGCTCAGGAGCTTTTAAAGATTTGTTCAAGTGCAGCAAGGCACTTTACCTGCAATAATGCACAGCAGCCAGAGTCATGTAGTGAAAGGCCCTCTAATCCTGTTCTAGAGAGCAGCAGCAGACAGTCCAACCTGTGAGGAACTGGCAGAGGAGCAGCAGTACAGTTTGTTACCTTACCCAGAAAAAAGCCAGACTCAGCAGTGGGGAGAGGTGGAGCTCCCTTCCCTGAGCTTTGGCAGAGGCTTTGCTACATCCCCACTAGAGAACACAGGCAAAACTGAGCACTGCAGGGCATGCAGCTGTGACAAAGGAGGGTGAATATCCATCCAAATGGAAAGAAACTAACAAATCTGATAGATGCTAAATGACTGTTAAAAAACTGGGAGCTGAGGGGATGCTCTGACACTGCAACAACAGAACCCCATGAAAACGCCATCATAAAGAAACCAATTTGGGGCAAAAAAGAAGCCTAATTAGCATATTTGCTTACACATCTTCACAGTGGCATTTTAAATTCACTCAAAATTTTGGCAGGGACTTTTGACAGATGCATTTACCAATATCTTCATCTAACTGTTCTCTTCTTTGAAACATCACAGGATTTGCATGCCTCATAGTTATGAAATTGTAAAAATGGTTATGAGTCTATAAAAAGGCTAGGTAGCATCAATTCAGCTTTCATTCAGATTGTTTGGCTGGGAGGAGCAATGTGATCATTTTACATGCAACACTAATCCAAAAAGCTTTTGGATGACTGCAATAATAATTACAGGTACTTTGATCTCAAACTCTCGAGTGGTTTTCTGAAAGCAAAACTGCGCAACTTTCACTTGGGCTGGAGAAACACCTTTCAAATTACAAAGGTGACTGGACCATAAATTACATGTGAAGGGCAGATCTGAAAATACACCTGCATTGTGTTGAAAGACCAAACTTCCACATAAAAATGCTAAAACAAAGCCTGTATGGATACACAGACTATAAGGTAACCAAAAGTACAATTAGCATTACTACACCAGCTCACTAGTTAAAATTGCAAGGACAGATGCTGTGTATTGCTGCTGAAATAAGTGTGTCATCAGCTCCATTTTTTCCTGTCTTGATTTCCTTCTTAATAATATATTGTAAGTTTAAAAGTCATTGTGGAAGCATCCAACCCTCTGTTCCTAAAAGGCAGGTGATAAACTGATGTCTGCCTTGGGCAGAGGTTAATTTGCTCTCCCACAAGTACATTAAACCCACAAAATTTTTATTTCATTAGGTTCTTGTCACCAGCTATCACCCACCAGCCCAGTAACACTCAACTCCTAATTAGCATTGCTGAAACATCCCTAACACTGGGAATGCTTTTCCCTCTAAAGAGAATGCTAAGGTGGGCAGCAAAATGAAGATCAAGAACCTCTGCACACCTATGGAAAATGAAGATGGACAGACTTCCAGCTCTTCCTGCAACTGGAGTTTCTGGGATGGGAAGATATCATAGCAAACTGGCTTTCTGCTCAGAAAGATACAAAGTTCCTAAATCAGTAATCTTGGATGACTTCCTGTGTTACCAGCCAAGGACACTATTTCTGACAGCCACTTTCCAGAGCCCACTCACTGACTAAAGCAACTGATCACATCCTATTGCTTCTGAGCATTCCTCAACAGCCCCTATGAAATAACTCATCAGTGACCAGCTAGAAACTGAAAGTCAGCAACTGTCTACTGCTCCTTCAGAGGAAGAATAATGGATATGAAACCAGCATATTCTTACTGTCTGTTGCAAAGGAATTTCAAGAGGGTGGGACACACAGGTCCTGCAAAGATCACCTCACTTCTCCTGCAGCAGAGAGCTCAGTGAGCCTTCTGTAACATGTGAGCACCAATGAAGGAAAACCCCATAGAGGCTAAGTTTGGGGCCTTCTCCCTGATACTGAGGGGATGCCCCATTATTATGTGGCTTGCAAGAGCAGTTTCCATTGAATGACAAACTACTCTGAGTTGGAAGGGAACCACAAGGATGATCAAGTTCTACTCCTGCCTGTCCTTCACAGGACAATCCCCCCTTCGCCTGAGAGCATTGGCCAAACAGGACAGGCTGAAACAAACAGGCTCAGTGCTCTAAGTCCCTCCCTGGGGAACCTGCTCCTGCTCCTGTGAAGGTGAAGAACCCTTTCCTAATATTCAACCTAAACATCCCCTGGCACAGCTCCAGAGACTCGCTCAGGTCCTTTCACTGGTCACACACAGCAGAGACCGGAGCTGTCCCTCCAACGCACTCAAGAAGAAGCTGCAGCTCATGATAAGCTCTGCCCTCAGTCTCCTCCAGGCTGAAGAAGCCAAGAGATCTCAATCACTCCTTTGCATGGCTTCCCCTCTAGACCCTTCACCATATTCACAGCCCTTCTTTAGATGTCTCCAAAAGCTTTCTATGGTTCTTAAACTGTGGTGCCCAAACCTGCCCCCAGGACCCGAGGTGAGGCTGCACCAGCACAGAGCAGAGTGGGACCATCACCTTCTTTGGCGCCCCCCAGGGCACAGCCGGCCCTTTGGGCTAACAGGGCACACTGGTGACTCATTTTCAACGTGACACCGACCAGGAACCCCACATCCCTTTTTGTGGGACTGCTCTGCAGCCTCTCATTCCCCAGTCTCTCCTACATCCGGGGTTGTCCCTTGACAGGTGCCCCATCCCTCACCAGTCCATTGTTCTTGTACTACAGTAGAGTCATGTGGGGTTAGACAGGCACTTAGCGCTGCAGCAACTATCCGGAAAAAATAAAGACAGTGACCTTTTGAAAATAGCACTGACAAGGCCACGCTATTCATCGTGCCGCTATATTTTCCAACAGGACTTCCAGGAGTTAAAAATTCCAGTCAGCAATGTAGAAAGAGGGCTGGGGCACCACATGCAGGGCAGGGACGAGGTGGTTCTACCCCTCCCCGCTCCCAGCCGGGGCGGCTCCCCCGCCCGGCACTCACGCAGCTTCCACGCCGTCTTCGTGGTCACGGCCACGGCCATGGTTCCGCGCGGCGCCTCTCGGGCGGGCAGCGCCTTCCTCCTCCCGACGAGGCTCCGCTCCGCTAGCGCGTCCTACGGCCAGGCCGCGCACCGGGGCTGCCCCGGCCGTCCTGCGGGCACTCAAACACGGTCACGGCGAGACTCTCCTGAGAGGCGGCGCGGCGGGGGACGAGGCCTCACCGCTGACGAACATCACGGGACGGGAGCGCTGGCCGGGGCGAGGGCGATCGCCTGGAGGCTGGTGGCGGCGGGGCCCGGCAGTACCGGAGCGGGACCCCCGCCCGCCGCCGCCCCGCAACCGGCCCCTCACAGCAACCCCGCGCCGCGCCGGGCGGTTGCCCGGGCTCCGCGCGCCGCTCGGCCAATAGGAAGCGAGGGCGGGGAGGTCGCCATGGCGACGGCGGCGCGGCCGCCACTCGCAGAGCGGCTTCTTGGCGGAGCCCCGCAGGCGCGGCCAATGAGGAGGCGGCGCTCAGGATGGGCGCCGCCATTTTGGGGGCCGCCCTGAGGGGCGGGGGCCGCGCCGCTCCTGCTCTGCCGCCGCTGCGGGTCCTGCGGCCGCCCCGGAGCTCCCGTGGGGCGGACCGGGTCCCTCCCGGGCCTCGTAGGTCACGACCCGCCGGCGGCTGAGGCCGTCTTGCCCTGGGCTGCGGCCGGTGTGTCCTGTCAGGCGGCTCACGGGTGTCTCGGGACTCTGGCGAGGCTCCTGTGCTTTTCCCGCCCGGCTGAGGTGCGGTCGCGCCGCTTGTGGGTGTTTCTCGCAGTCTTTGAAACCAATTACTCCATCAACAGAGAAAAACACAATGAATTTGACGCTACTCCTTGATAATGACCCAATAATGAAGGCTGAATTTCAAGGGTCATATCTTTACAGCTCAGGAGTGATGCATGCCGACAAGAGAGAAATCGGGCAAGAATGGCAGGAGGCCTTCATGGATGGATAACTTTCATCCAGGACTAAGAGCAGGAGCAGGAAATTGTGTGATTCTCCATAAATATATTACTATATATTATTAAATATATTACTATATATCTTTTTTTTTCCTCTGCTGAGCATCAGAGGAAGAAAAAAAAAAAAAAGATTGTACAAGAGTTTTTTCTTAGAAAGGAAAAAGAAACTTTAAGGAAGTGGAAACGAGGACAGATGGCCTTGGAGCACTACAGGGAAATCCCCTGGCCAGGAGCTTGGAGCTAGATGGTCTTTAAGGGCCATTCCAACCCTGTAATGTTCTGTGATTCTATAATAAGCATTTGCTGATGGTTTGGCAGCTGCTGTGTCCCTAATGTCTGTAAAATTATTTTAAAATTAATTTATTCTGGTGTCTTCTCTGGTTTTGAATTAACACTGATGAGTTCATATCCACAGTGTTAAACAGGGCAATGTTTTGTTGTTACAGGGCTCTAGATCAGGTCCAAGAAATGTTACATTTGTGAACTCACCAGTTCAAAACCTTTGCTTATGAAAAACCGGCTTATAAATTTGTTAAAATATTGTGTTGGAAAAGAATCTGTATTCCCAAATAATTCTGTTCCTGCTGCCAGCAGCTATGCAGCAGATTTGGAAAACAAAAGCCCTGAAAGACTGTGCATGCTTTGTCTCCCCTTCTGAAGTAGACCTTAGGGCTAAGGTACCATTGAGACTCGAGTCTCAAACATGATGGAGTTTCATGAGGAGATAATTGATGTAACTGCAGATGGGCTTTAGAAAAAATAGGGAAAAGGAAAAGGTGCAGAATGGTGCAAATTCATTAAAATATCTGCAAATCTGATCATAGTGAAAGGTTTATTGAAGGCAACTCCAGAAAAGCAATGAAGAAATCAGTCATGCCCGAGGTGCCCAGCCAAGTGAGGATTCCTGAGCAGCACCTCTTTAGGAGAATGTTTTTTCTCTATTCTGCCAACTGCTTCTCCCTAGAACAAGAAGGGGGAAATCGGAGGGAAACTGCAGTGGGACATGGATTAAAGTATTTCACAGAGTAGCTGCAGTTCCACGTTCCTGGGGCTGACTGGTAATCGTGCCCTGCTCAGGCAGTCATTCCCACTCCCTGCAGAGGCTCCACTTCACATCGTGGAGTTGGTTGCAGTGTGATGGGTGAGGGATTCCTCCTCCCCTCCGAGGTGCTGACTCTCCTTCTCCAAGGAGCTCTGGGAGCCCTTCTGCTCCTCTTCCAACACCTGTGAAGGAACAAGCGACCAGAAGTCAGGGAAATAGAGAGGAAAGTGAGGAGCAAAAACACAGCTTAATTCACAGAGCTGGGATGAAGGAAACCACAAAATGGAGGTGATTTATTTTTGAGAGGGGGGGAAAAAAGGTTTGAGATGCAGTCTCATGAGAAGAAGAAAACTAGGGAATCAAAATGTGGAACAGGAAGAGGCAGAAAATCCAAGTGTTTTGCCTCACTAGTGTCAAGAAGCCCTGGAGAAGCAAATCATCTGTGATTGAGAGAAGGACTAAAGCTGCCCTGGGGCTGCTTTGTTATTTGATGCTAATTACAAATAAAAATACATATATCTATATATATACACAGGCATATTTATGGCTCTTTTAAAATACTGCCCCCATAATCCCTATTATCAACTAATCATTCTTAATTGTTTTCTTTTTTAACTAAACAAAACACAGTAATCTTTCTCAGTGGTGCAAGTTTTTCCAGAAAGTCAGGAGCTGACCATAGCACGACCATGTTATATTTCCCTGGGAAGGCAATTGAAACTGTGCTGACTTACACCACACTGTGATTTGTACCAATATATTTTAATGATATTAAAAGCTCTACAGAGAGAATTCCTGATAGAAAAAGAGCTGACTGGATTTCTTTTATTACATGTATCGAATGCTGACATTAATGAAGTTTACTTACTGTGGCTTCATGCTGTTGTTCTCTCTTTGCAGCGCTGTATATTGAAACTGACAATTTAATATTGGCCTCTTCATCCTCACGGACCATCAAAATATTTACCATCTTCCAAGAAATCAGAAGAAAGACCCCTCAGCTTTCCCACAAAATGACTGTACTTTACAAGCCTGACCTGATAACAGAGCAGATGCTGCATACAAGAATTGTAGAATAAGATTAAATATAGATCTATGCAAATATGTCCATGTCCTGCTGATAGATCAAAAATCTAAAAAATTAAGTAGTCTTAATTTTAGATTGTTGCTGTGTATGAAATTCTTGAATGTAATTATTGATATTAACTGATAAAGCTTTTCTGGAGTCATAGTTTTGGCACTGCTGTAGAAATTGCACTGATAGCTTTGGCTTATTTTTTGTCTTATATAGGATATGCAGCACAAGCAATGGGAATATTTTGTCTGTTGATACATCAAGACAGAAATTTGGCAAGGTAGTTCATGAGGTCACTGTGAACTAGCTTCAATTTTCTGAGGAAAAAATGTGATTTTTGCAAAGTTGTTCTTAATTATTACTAACATTGTAAGTTAATATAGTTGAGCATTCCCTCTGCAGTGCCTTCAGGGATTTCTCTTCCTCAAAAAAAAAAAGTTAAAAGAAATCCAATAGCTGTGCCTCCATCTGCCAGAATGATTATATTTTTCATGATGCAATTACAAAGAACTCGGATCTGTTTCACCTGTCAGTGTGATTAGCAGTACAAGCAAAGTGCTTTATGAAGTATTTCCCTACAGGCTCACACAACAAGTCACTTCAATATTTTGGATAGGGTTTCCTGGCAATGCCTAGCACCTAGATACAGCATTACATACAATATCCTGGCAAATGGCAGGTAGGCTTCCAGATGCCCCAATTCATATATTGTCATTTGCTCTCTGAAACGTTTCCTCACAGGGAAGGAAGACTAAGAGCAGGAGCAGGAAAGTGTGTGACTCTCCATAAATATATTACAGCTACATCTTCACTGAACAATGCCTGAGTAGCAAGCATAATAATTCAGCATGGACACCAGCTTTGTCTTACTTTTATCACAGTTTAGCTTGAGGAGGCTTTGGCAACCAGGCAGCTGAAACTATTTCTACACCTGATCAGTTCTGACACTGTGTGTCACACCTCCCTGTTACCTCTGCTTCAGAGTCCCGGACTTGTTGTTTCAGATCCTTCTGTTCTTCTCTCAGCTCCCACAGCAAGTCGTACAGACGGCGCATGTTCTTGTGTTTCTCTGAGGACCACGGCTGGAAGCAGATAAGTCAGTGAGAAACAGCAGCACTGTCTGGGTGCACAGGGTCAGGTACTCTGCTGGCAGAAACTGGCACCATCCTGCTACAGCCAATAAAGCAGCACTTGTTTCCATCATTGAAACATCAAACCCATGGTCAGCATGGGTTTATCAGACTTCATTTTGATTTAGAATCCATCAGTAATATGAGCCAGATGGCACATCTTGCGCTTTGCTGATGCTGCTGTTTTACTGTAGGAATGAAATGAGATGAATTGGAATGCATTGAAATAGAGATAAAAAAATGGGATTCCAGCAATGGTATTCTGTGTATTCTCCCCATTGGGGAACAGAAATTTTAAAAACCCTTTTACATTAAAAAAAAAAAAATCCCTATTTGTAATCTCTGGTTTTCTTAAATGAATTGTGCAGCATCACAGCAGAATTTACTGGCAGGCTTCTGCCTCTGGTTACAGTCTCACACTGATGCTGTTAGTGGGGTGACCCCTCACCCTTGATGAGATCATTTGACTTAATGGCAGCACTCCACTTCTTTTGGAGTATCTCTTATTTAAGGCTGTCTGTCTATTTATCTACCTATCTGTCTGTCTGTCTGTCTATCTGCAATGTATTAAGTCTCAGCATCTTGCTCTGCAGAGTAAACTCTGGGATATTTAAGGAATGATAGGACCCAAGAACTCCACAGCAGAAATAGAAGCAGAACAAAGAGTGTCTGCCTTTGCTGCTCTGTTCTCACTCTTCTTGAAGAGAGAACAACAGAGGACATTTCAGCTTCCCTGCCATGAATCTCCAGAACAGAGTCCAGCAGCTGCTGAACCTACACTTTGCAGGATCCCAGGGGATGTGGAGTCTGCCTGATGATCAAATCTGAGAAGATGACCTCAGGCATGGCCACAGCAGGCCGGCCATGTCACATTATGTCCTGCACTCCCAGTCACTCCCAGCATGGCAGTGCATCTCCTTGGCTGTTGGTGTTGTCAGCCTGGAGCTGTGCAGGTGGAGTAGAGGGGCAGTATGGAATATGTCATGCTTGTAATTCTTTCACTGACATGTCACCTTTGTGTTTTGTCATCTTCATACCTGGAACTTGACAGTGTTTTCTCTGCTCAGGAAGATTTCATCTTCTCTTTTTTCCCTCCCTATTACTCTGCAGAAAGCCACCTTTGAGGCAATGGTGTCATGAAGCTCAAGGTGATATGTCAGCTGGATGACATCATCTATGACCATAAAGATACGTTCCTCTATGTCTTCATCAGCAGGCTTTTCTGGATTTCTGTGGAAGTACTCCTTGATTTGCTAATGGAAAGTGAAAAAAAGACACAGAAGCAGCTTAGACAACACAAAACTGGCAAATTGACAGATTTGGGTAAAACACCAAGGTAAAAGTTGTGCTTTTCTGCCTGGACTTGCATCTTTTGGCAAATGGTCCTACTGTTCCTCTCTATGGCTTTCAAAAACCCAACCACAAAGCTGCATAAAGCAATACAGAAGTTTCCTATTTGTGGAGCAGAGTATGCTTTCCAAACTCCAAGTTAGCTTGGGATGCATCCCTGCCTGAGGGACCTGCAGGAAGTATGGTATTTTGGAGAAAAGCAAAGTTTCCCATATTTCCCAACACAGGGGAGGAAAAGGTGGCATGTTTGGTGCTGGTCCAAAGACAGGCCACCACATGGCTCTGTCTTGCCAGGTGGTATCTGAGCCATACACACTGCCAGATGTCAGATTTCCTCCTCCTCCTGTCCTGCAAACCAGACCTGACAAAAGGGAGATGTAGATTACCTGCCTGCAACAAATCAGAGTGATGGGACAATTCATCAGGAACCTAAAATGATATTAGTTTGGACTCAGCACAAAAAATCATTTTCCTAGTTTTGAATCTTGTGAAAATTGTGTTCACATTTTTTTCCTTTCCTCTGACACACAATTTCCAAGCCTTCGTTTCTTAGTTTAATTCTAGCTGCTCAATGCAGTTCCTGCCAACTACTCACACTGTAGCTCTCTGTCAGGGAAGCAACAGTGAGACACAGCAGCTGAACAACACTTGGATATCTCATCTGGAGTTTTACCTCAGCCATGCCCACTGAAAATGAACTGAAGCCCCAGGCAGTATGTTCTGCATAGTTTAAATATCACAGTGACCCATATTTTTCTGTTCCTGCCTTGGACATACCACTATAGGCCGGGGGTTAGCATCAGCTGTGGCGTCAGCCTTTTCCATTTTCTGGTCTCTCTCGCCAAACTCAGTGTGCCGCATGTGCAGGAAGTCCTCCCGCCCCACGAAGTACTCTGTCATCTCAGTAGCACTTTCAAAACGTTTCCAGAGGCCATCAACTCGTGCCGTGTGGTAAAACTCCACTGTGTGCCCAGTCTCAGGTTCCAGTGACGTGTAGGAGTGAGCTAAGGACAATCACACACATTTTCAGTGTTAGCAACTGTAATTCACTGAACACAGGGATGTCCAGTGTAGGTCTCATTTTCTTCAGCTTTAGCAACAGATCTTATCCCCAGCTGCACAACACGGAGAGAACAAATATAATCGTAAAGAGAAAGTTTCATCTTCCATCAATTCATGCTGATAAAATTAGAAATGTATCACCCTGATACACATGATAACTATTTTTCTAACATGTAGAAAACTACATAGATGGGAGAGCACTGCCCAGTGCAAGCCACCAACCCAATTCTCTACTCTTCACTGGAGACCATTTTATTTATTGAGGCAATTTATCCCACAAGTATCCTGTTCCCCGTGCCTTTCAGCTTTGGGTTTTTGCCACTGCTAGAAAGGAGTCACGTGAAATCCCATCAGCTGCAGTGGCTGCCCAGATGAGCTGGAATACCTTTAAGAAGGAGGGGGTGTCCTGGCCTGAAATGGTCTGTGATCAGCTGTGTTTGTTTATTCACTTCTCTCATATATAGCAGGTCTTCTCGGTGTTTGAACCATTCCTTCACCTCCAGTTCTTCAGTACCTGCCAGGAGACAGGTTATCTTGTAACGCTAGATCACCCTGTTGGAGGTGGCAAAATTCTGCTGGGCTCTCAGTGTCTGTGCCAGCACCCTGTGCTCCTGATACAGCCTCAGTGGACATGGTACAGCCACTGGAATTGCCCCTGTGCACAGGGGAATTTTGTATGTGAATCCTGATCTGCATTTGAGTAGGTGAATTATACCCTAAGAGGGTCTATTCCTCTCCATCAACCACAACTAGAGTAATGAGTTCAGGAGTAGAACATGGCATGGCAAAGGGCTATGGATAGGCAAGAGAAATTCCATCCCAAATAGTTAATGATTGTTTGGATCAGTCAGGAGACTGGAGCATCACACCATCCAAGAAGGATGAGGGCAGGACACTCTATGTCCAGTAAGGAATCTGTATGGTTTTGTGAACCAGCTGTTAAAAATAATGTTTTCAACTACAGAGATATCCTCATGCTGTAGCTGCCCCTTTCTATGGCCCCTTTTGACACCAGTGAGGAAATAAGGATAGTGACACTATTGGATCAATTCAAACCAGCCTTCAATTTCTCTGAAGACTGAAAATCCAAGCAGCTGACCTGTGACACTGAACAGTTTCACTGGTGTATTAAACAGATTCAAACTATTGTGAAAACCCCTAGCAATGCTGGAAAGTTCAGGGGCTTGACAGACTAAGCATGATGAAGAGTTTGAGGATAAAGTAAATAATTCCCCACAAAGGTGAAAGGAAAATGAGAAATCACAAGAGAGACTGGCAGAAAGGGGACCACCTCCCCTTTTCCATCAGCATGCCCCAGGCTGTTTGCTCAGTGTGGGGACTGTGCTCGTTCATCCTCTTACGGTCTGAGTCTGCGTAGACAGTGAGGCGTTCCACCAGCCCGTCTCCATTTGCATATGCCGCCCACTTCTCCTGCTTTGCTTTATCGTACAGGATCACCTTCTTCCCCTGGGAAAAGGGATTCTCATATTCTGCAGTGGGCAAGAGAATTGTCAGACAAATTGAATTCCCTGTTCTCAGCCCAAAAGAAATAATTTAAGAGGGGAAAAAAACATGGCCTTAGAGACGTTATGCATTTATTTATTATGTTCTGCTGGCAATAAAGCTGTTCACATCCTGCCTATTGTCCTTTAATGTTATAATGGTATAATAACTCTTTTCTCTCCCCAAACAGGTATTTGATAATGCAGGAGCAGATCCTTGTGCATAGCAGTGAGAGAAAGATCATCCCAGGCAACATTTCCAGCTGGCAGGGAAACACAGTGTGGGGTGCGTGTCTGTGGGGGATCAAACAGTGCAGGAGGGCAGCCACTTGAACCAATAGCTGTTTTGGCCTTCATCTATTGTGCTTCAGTGTTACTGTCTGACCACCCTGAAGGGAGAGCTCAGTGAGACAGACAAATGTCCCAAATCCACTGAAAGGTCAGCTGGGAGCAAGAAAAAGGCAAAGGAAAACACCTACCTCTGCAAGATACCTTAATCTGGGCTACCCATGATAGTGGCATCTGAAAGCTCATGTCTATTTCCTCCTTTTCCTGCCAAAACAGAAGCAGAATTTGTGGCTTTGGCAGCATCTCCTGCTGTGCCAGGAGGCATTTTGGTCCTGGTGAAGTGCAGTGATCGGAGCTCAGCTCATGTGAAGCTGTGCTCTGGTGAGCACCAGGGCACAGCTATGACAGCACACCCCTACTCGAGTCTGATGAAGTTATCTTCTCCTGGCTACTGCTCAGGCTGGCAGGGAATGAATGTGGCAATCACCAGATTATTTTTTGTAGACCCTGGAGGAGTCTTTACTCCCTGGTTATAGGCACAGGCTGAGAAGAGTAGATAGCAGGAGGGAATTACTAATTGCATTCCTCTGTGCTGCTGTGCAGGTGCAATGTCTGTTTTATCACGCTGTCTTCTCCCAACACAACAACATTTTTTGCTTCTGTCATTTTTTTGTATATTAGAGGACACACATTATTTCTGCATTTGTTTGGCAGGTTCACCTTGCAGCCAGGAGGGGAAGGTGACCAGCATAGAAAGAATGTCCACAAAAATCTCATTCTGGATTTCATTTTTTTAAATTGTTTCATCCCAAAGGCCAATGCACTGGAGGCTTACAGAGATCCCTAGCCACTTATGACACCTGAAGCGTCATAAGTGTCAAGCAGGACACTTGGAGCCCTGCTTCAGAAAACACCAGAACTCTTCTAAATTGAGCAAGAATCTAAACCTGGCCAGAGTAGAAGGGGTGTGACCTGGAGAGGGCAGCAGGCAGGCAGATATTCACGGGCCTATGGACACAGTGGTTCCATACAGGGTCCCCAGTGCTCAAGAGCATTGCTTGGGTCACTCACCATGTCATCTGTGTCTTTCTTGGGTGACTCTGCGGGCAACTGAGAGGGCTCCTTGCTCT